ATGATGATGGCCTGCATGTTGATGATGTTCATGGGGACGGTCGCGAAGTGGACGTCCGTACCCCCCACCCCACCCCACCCCACCCCACCCCACCCCACCCCACCCCACCCCACCCCACCCCACCCCCCAAACCATGGAATCTGTAAACCAGCAAAAACTTGCCAAAACTTCATGGTCATTGAGGCGCGCGTTGGGTGGCGTAGGGTTTAGGATGGCTTAGGGCTTTAGGGGATTAGGATGGTTTAGACCTGGTGTGTCCCATTTGTCGGGGAATTATCAAGCAATCTTTAGGTGGGCATTATCCAGGTTGCGTCGTAGTTTTGTGACGCAGGGTTCCAGTGAGTTGCACAGTAGGTTCCTGATCATATATTTTGTGACCCAGCTACCCCTAATTTAGGCAACTGGAGCCCAGAGCGATGTCAACAGGTTTGTGGTGCTCATGTCTTGTTGCCGTAACATATCTGTGCACACTTTAATCACTGTATACAACGCTGCCGAGGATTCCAAACTGGCGAGTCGGGTTCGGACAGTTGAGAGCGACCTGCAAATTCCACTAATTCTCTTGTGACTCTAGCTTAGGGGCTTTGGGAAAACGCATGTGACATGCAACAACTACAGTAGGGACAAGAGACAGGGTCATGATGGCAATGCCAACATTGGCACATCAAAAACTTGAAAGCCTGATGCTATTCCTTAGGGTTCGTTTTGCTTACGCAAAAACCTACCGCACAGCCTTATTCTAAGTATGGAGACCCCTTTACACTGCACACTGAGTTAAGAGCCCTCGTTGCAGCAGGGTCTCCTTCGACACGGCCTCCCTTGTGTCCGAGCGTGTGGATGCTGAAATCTCCAAAAGGCCTCTTCTCCCGGGTATCCCTAAGATTCCAAACAGCCCAAACTAGGTAGTGCTAATGGACTTTAGACCCCAGAGTAGAAACTATTCATATACTTGCTCTTAGGTACTTTAGCCCCCAAAGTAGGTACTATTTGGAGACTTGAAGTTTGAAGGTATACTGTAAGGGGTGAGGCTCAGATATGCAGAGTTTACCATTCCCTGCTGTTGTGACTCCTCAGTGTCTCCAGACCTAGCGATCTGAGTTGTCGATCCGTTCGGCAGCGGTTTGGGTCTAGGGGTTTGGGATTTTGGGGTTTAATAGTATAGAGGCCTAAATTACTACCAATACTATGTTGGGGGCTCCTCATTAGGATTATCGTACAGAAAACCACCAAGACCTTACTCTAATATGCTTTAATTGTTTAGGACCTTACATTAGGGGTTTAAGGCTCAGGGTCTTGAGAAGACGTGACCGTGACCTGTTGTGTGCACTGAGACAGCAGAAGCGACGGCATAGCGAAACTTTGAGCAGCTCTGTTTGCACGCTTGCAAAATACATGTAAATCCTTTTAATTAGGCTTAAAACCACTTGAAACCAAGACACCACAGAACCTCGCTAAGGTGGGATAATATAACGGGCTTCTCTACTCCCTTCTACATTGCACGCCACCTTGGAAGAAACTCGCATCTGAGGATGTCTGTAGTGAACTTTTTGCCAAGATTACTGCTCATGCAAACGTCAGACAAAGTAACCGAGCTTTAGTGAAGGTATGACATCGACATGCGCGAGATTGGAATCGGAGGATACGGAAAGGCTGGGATGACTTCGGACTTACCGTAGTGGACTGCAAGGGAAAAGTAGTGCGAGCAACCGTTAAGAGTTGACACAGATTCTCAGATTGTGTAAAAACATGTCTCAAAACCTACCCGAGGACTAGTCCAGACTGTTTGTTGTTGAGATGAACTCAATTTGGACGGCGCAGCTGCTACCCCCAACCGCAAGTGTTTCCAGTGAGCTTAAGTCGAGGGCTCCACCCGCGGTTGGAGGTTAACTGCCGCTTTAGAGGCTGGTGCAGTCCATGCAAGCCTGCAGTACACCGATAACATCGGAAGGACCTGCTCCAGATAGCCAGTAGCAAGCATGCAGGCATACAGCCGCATGCAGCAATCGACGGCTTTTGACCTATAGGGGCTTCATGCGAGTGGGTTGGTTTCAGTTGTGTCGGAAATAGCCACAGGGTAAGAAGCATTAAGAAGCATTCGTAGACACTACCATGACGCCACGGCTGGTAGACATCAACACGAACCCGAGCGACACCAGCAACAGAACCGATAGACGACGATGAAGACACCGACCACGACGACAACGACGACTTTACAGCCGGAGAGATGAGTGGAAACACCTGAAGCATGCCAATTAAGCTTTTGGTGGTCATGGTATCCACGGAGCTCGTTTCTCAGCAAGCCACTCCTCACCTGCCACAGGTTTGAAGAAACGGTTTCGTGAGTCTGACGTCAACCCATGCGAACCCTCGCTATTCCTGCTACAGCCGATTCACCGTATAGGGGCCGACATGTTACGCATGAACGCACCATGACATTGCAGAAGACATTGTTCTACTAATTCTATTTATTCTAAGCCGCATAAGAAGCACTTTTGAGGCGCCTATGTTAAAGATCCTATGTTGAAGGCTCTGAAATCCAAAAATTTCCCAACCCTTTCTTTCGAAATAGAAGCCTTCAACTAAGTAGCATTTTTCATGAAGACTGCTGTGCGGACAGACACTTTTTTCGACATAGCAGGCCGTGATCGCCTTAGAGGTCTTGTGTGGCGTCAGTCCCTGCTGTTCTCACCTCATCCGAGCCACAGACACATGATTCACCTGGAATTGTCCGAGTTGTGCGCCGAAACCCCAAAAGCCCCAAACCCCAAGTAATCCCTAAAGATAAACCCTAACTTCAGGTGTTCTTGGCAAAAGACCGGATGTTCAAGGACCGCCAGGTGGCCATCAAAAAGGCCGCTCAACTTGGTTTCCTGCAGGTCGTTTTTGGGTTTTAGGGGCTTGGGGTTTTCGGGTTCCGGGTTCGGGGGATATTTGGAGTTCAAATTTTAGGTTTTTTGTGTGGAGCGTGCCGTTGGGGTTTTTGTTGAGGGGGCTATGCGGTTTTGGCATTGGGAGCTTTAGAAGAAATTTTGCAGGGTTTGGGACTTAGGGGTGCAAGGTTTATGATCACACTGTCCGGGCGAGCTCCAAAGCTGTGGGAGAAAATGTCGCGCCGTTTGTAACTATAATACGGACTCTATAAAATGGGTTGTTCTCTATGTTTTAGAGTCCCGCTTCAGGATCCCAAAAGCAGTATAGAATGGACCCCGAATGGGACCCTAATTTACAGAACTACCCATTCGTTTTGTGGGGACAAGGGTCTCAGCCTTTTGGGGCTCACAGCTCGAGTGGCATGCTTCCCTAAACCCTAAACCCCCTAACTAAGCCCTAAAAATGGCTCAGGCGCTTCAAGATGTCTTCTTACTCAGGGATTTTGTCTACAGTTCGAGGCAGTCGCAGGCGCATTGGGCAATTTCAAGAAGAACAGGCGACTCAGCAACACAGTGCTAATGCCAATAGCACTCCGGAGCAACTAAGCAACTAGAGCGCGACAGAGTCAACAAATCCCATCTTGCGTATTGGTTGCTGAGGGAGCCGTCCCGTGATTGGGGCATAGCGCCGAACCAACTGGAGGACCATGTTGCTCAACAAGAAGCTCCTAAAGCAGTGGCTAGGCCACTTGAGCCTGAGTCAGTCAGGGACCCGAGCGTGCTTGCGATGGTACCGGGCGATGATGGATTGGATGTGCGAAAGCACATAGACCGGATCTTGCACTGGCTGCCACAGCCGAAACCCTGAGCCCTAAACCTTAAACCCTGAACCACTTAAACCCTGAGCCCTAAACCCAACCCTGAGCCCTAAACCTTAAACCCTTACGAAACCCAATCGAACCCATCCCTGAACCGGAAGCAATCAAAGCCCTTGAAACCCTCAAGCTCTCCACACCAAAAACCCACGAAGCTGCGAAACAGGGTTTAGGGTTTAATCAATAAAAAAAACCCCTGGGTTTTTATTAGGGTTCTTAGTATGAACCATAATATATTTGGGGTTAAAGGGCCAGGGTTTCTTAATGAGGTTCCTACATTAGGGACAACCTTTTACCGCCCTAGTCCCCAAACTGTTTAGTCGTATCCGGGAAGACTCCGCAGTTGCTCTTGCACGGAAGACTCATACGGAGGGGCCGAAATAATTGCCAATACTATTTTTGGGGTTCCTATTTTCATCATAATAAAGTATACCCCGAAACCCTATAATTATTAAGGCCCCTACACTATAGGTGGTCAAAATCGATGAAGAGCGAGACTCCGCCTTCAAGAAGGAGGCTGTTCTGCTCAGGTCTGAAGAAAGTGTTAGGGTTCAGGGTTGCGTGGTTAGGGTGCATTATCGGGCTATGAAGGCTGCTATATGGGTTGTACCGGGCCGTCAAGGCATTTGTCGAAGGCTGTCTTGGGTTTATAGGGGTACTCCGCGGGAGCTGGTGGGCTCGGGATCTAGAGCTTGGCTTGAGGGGGGTTACATGCTGATAAGGTCCAATTAGGATATGGGAGTTTAGGAATTACATTAGCTACGTTGTCATTGTTGTTGTTGTTGTTGATGTTGCTGTTGCTGTTGCTGTTGCTGTTGATTGTTGTTGTATGTGAGGGTTCAGGCGCAGAGTACAGGCGTTAAGTGTTGCCGGTTTTGCAGGCTTCGAGTTTCCCGTGTATCAACGGGTTCTGAAGGACGCGTTGACGTACTTTCATTGCGTGGCCCGTTGTTTCGAAGCTAAACCGTAAGATGCCAGTCAGACTAGCAGATGCGATCGCAAAACACCCTAAACCCCAAACCCTGAACTGCTAATTCAGAGCAGTTCTCGGTTAGCAGGCGCCCCGAAGAAGCACTTGGAGGGCAAAGCGGTAATTGGGAAGGCTGTTCTGAGATGCAAGCTCGAGTGTCGTACCATGGAGACCGGCCACGTTCTCGGTCCTTTGTTGGAGACGCCCTTCCTGTGCAGAAACGCTTAGCATTCGAGTAAGCAACCTCTGACCATTTCGCACATGGCATCGCAAAGTTCTTGGACTTCAGGAGGGGTGCATGGCTGGCGTTGGTTGTCAAGAGTACCTCAATGTCAATAGTAACAGTATTCTTTTCTTGGCATTCCGGGATACGATAAAGCGAAGCCGGGCCAGTGACACTTCTAACAAGACCCTCATCGGGAGTCTGATAACGATGGTCCCCCGCATGGCTGCCTGTACCGTTTTCGATGGATCGTGTGGTAGAGCAACAAGGAGCCCTGCTCTCCGACTCAGCATCCCTGAACCATTCATAAGCCCAGCCCTAAACCGACCCGGTGCTCCCATTCCCAAACCGCCGCTCCATGTCCCACGTCTCGGAAGCGCCGGACTCCAAGAGCCATAAAAGCAAGGAGCCTTGGGCAGGTGACCATCATGAAGCTCCTGGATCATCCCAACATCTGCCGCCTCTTCGAGACGTATGACCAGGCCAGGGTTTTTGGGTGTTGGACCTTCAGCCATTGAGAGCCTGAAGAAGCAAAGAGTTGCTGCGGTTTGGGACTTTTCAGTGTGAAATTTACTGCGCCCTACAATTCCAATAAAACAACGAGGCCTTCAACGCTGAACTACTCTAGGTAATGAGACGCAAACAAGTGCTTGAGTCCGAAAAGCGTCTTCCGTGCATCCTGCCCCGGTATCAATGCCGCAACAAGTTAGAGTTGTGTATAGCTTAATTGTGTTTGAACCGACTTGGTTGTTCATGCGGGCCATGATAGTTGGTGGTAGCCCTTGTCGGTGCACGAAGTCGAAACGAGATCTCCGTTCAGAGCACAATATTGAATAATTATCTCTTGGATCCCTGTTGGCTTCAGGTAGTAATTCTATCTACCAATAGTCTTCATTATCCTCCCTGCGAGACAGGCCTATAGTTCTTGTTTATGGAGCATTTTGAGGATCATGTTCCAGCTGCAGGAGCGCAATTCTGATTTACTGGTTGGGCACAGACTTATACACACTCCTGTGCATATTAGTTGTTTGTTAGTGTGTCGGTCTGTTTGTCTGTCTGTGTCTCTCTTTCTGTCTGTCTTGGAATCTGTTTGTCTCTGTATCCATATTATTTCGATCTGGCGATCTATGTATCTATCGCTTGGTCTACCTAGCTGTCTGCATACAGAACATGCAGTGGTATGTGTGGTTTATATTATATATAGATGTACATATGTAGATTGCTTATATGTATGTGTATATATATATAATATACATGTATATGCATATGTATGTATCTACTGTGTATCTATATATATATATTTATGTCTATTCATGTGTGGACACCTGCGCAATGACACACATATGTTCACACTCGTTAAAACAGCGCAAAACCCACCCTTGCACGTTTACAAATCAAGCCGAAGCAAGCCAGCTATGCCAAACGGCAAGCTGACACCCCTCGTCTAGCAGAAGCCCGTGTCGAACAGAAACCCCGCTCAAACAGAAGGCTCTGCTTGACACAAAGCTCTGTCTAGCACAGCCCCGGTCATACCGAAGCCCTTATCTGTCGTGAAACCATGGCAAATCCATAGACTTGGCTGCGTCGAAAATGCTGTGCATCCCAATGCGCGGAGGCACAGGGAAATGTAGCACACACATGCAAAGTTATCGATAACAGTAGTAAATAGTATGAAGAAATTAATCAATTGACAAACATACGTATGTATGTATGTATGTATGTACGTATGTATGTAGGCATGTATGCGTGTATGCGTGTATGCATGTATGCATGTATGTATTTATGTGTGTGTGTGAGTATGTACGTATGTATGTATGTACGTATGCATGTATGTATGCATGTACGTGTGCATGTACGCATGCATGTATGTATGTATGTATGTATGTATGTATGTATGTATGTATGTATTTGAGTAAGTATGTATATATGTATTCACGTATGTGTGTATGTATGTGTGTGTGTCATGTATGTATGTATGTATGTATGTATGTACGTATGTACATATGTAATGTACGTATGTATGTATGTATGTATGTATGTATGCATGTATGCATGTATGTATGCATGTATGCATGTATGGATGTATGCATGTATGCATGTACGCATGTATGCATGTATGTATGTATGTATGTATGTATGTATGTATGTATGTATGTAATGTATGTATGTATGTGTTTGTGTGTATGTTCATGTAATGTCATGTAATGTAATGTAATGTAATGTAATGTAATGTAATGTAATGTAATGTAATGTAATGTATGTGTGTGCATGCATACATGGATGAACGGAGGATGGATGGATGGATGGATGGATGGATGGATGGATGGATGGATGGATGGATGGATGTGTTTGTATGTGTGTGTGTGTCTGTATGTATGTGGGTGTATGTACTGTAATGTATATAGGTGTGCGTGAGCAGTACACACACTGAAGTATATGTATATATGCAGAGCTATGTACACATCTGTTTCGCAGAGTCATGAATGCTCAGGGGCGCGTGATGTACTTCGTGATCGAGTTCTGCGAGGGCGGGGACCTCTTTGACAGGCCCGTGGGTCCTATAAGAATCACGGATGTAAAATCCATAAACCTTAAACCCACACCCTAAACAGGTATCCTCGGGCTTTATTCGCAAGGACCCTTGGGAAGAGGGTATAGCGTTTAGGCAGTGTAGCTGCCCCGCAGGAGGTTTTAGCTTGTTCGGTTCTGTGCTACCTGGTCGGGCAGGAAGAGGACGGAGTTTTGGAGACATGAGTGCCCAAAGGCTTTCAAGCTCTTGTTTGGGCCCATGGTACCGTTTGTGACAGTATGGAACCTGTGCTGCCAGGAGGCTGCAACGAATGGCTGAACTGATCACATCCAACCGGTCGCATTGCGAAGTCTTTGAAACTTCCAGGTTTTTTGGAAGCGCAGAGTGTCAAGAGAGAGCAAGTCCGGAAGCATCGACCCTTGATAGTTAAATCTACTTTGATTGCCCGCCCTACACCGAAGCAGCGCACATGTCTTAAAAGTTCGCCGAACCCCGCTCCCCACACAAAGCTGTCACTTCCGCACCCAAACCCCAACCCTGGAAGGCGAGGAGCCCACGAAGCGTGAGAATCAGCTCCCTACCCTATACACCTAGACTCCCTAAGGCCCTATAAGGGGGGAAGGAACGTTCACTAACCATGTTGATAATACCAAGAACCCCAAGCAAGCCTCAGCGAACCCCAGCACAGACCAAGCCGTGAGAGGAGAGCCCACCTAAGTCCACGAAGCATTGTGCGTGGGATGAGCTGGGGGATTGAAGGGGGGCCAAACCGGGATCAAATATGAAGTGTGGGTAGTCGTGTTTCTTGGTTTTTACATTACATGTACTGGAACTTCTAGCACATATTTCTCATAGTTAAGTTTCTGTTCGTTGGCAGCGATCGTTGTCTAGAGAGCGCCCAGAAGAGGATTTCGGGGTTCAAGATGTTTGTGGAGAAGTTGGTGTTTCGCTTAGGTCCGCTCGGACTCCAGTGGCAGCAAGAAGGAGTTGAATAATGATCCCCGTTAAAGTCGTGGGGGGCTATTAATTGGTTTGTTAAGCAGGTTGACCCTGCTTAACCAAGTAATAAGCCCCACGACTTAAAAGGGGATCAGGATGGATCGGGCTTCTCTAGTTTAGACTCTAAACCCTAAACACTTCTGAGCCTGCTAACCCTACACCCGAGCCCACTGAACCCGGCGCCCTCCTCGAAATCCTCAACCCTTCAACTCAGAATGCAAATCCGAACCCTGCATTGGAACCCGAAGAGGGCGTCCTGAAGCTGGTGATGGAATCAGGTCGAGACTTTCTTTTGTAGTGACGGATAATGAGTATAGTTGTGGTTTAGTATTGCCCTTGCGCTTGTAGCCACTGTTGCCTTTGTGTGCAAGTATTGTAGGTGCAGACCGTCGAACAAGATAAGTTCCATCCACATCGGGCGCATCTACCCAAGGTAGAAAAATGCAAGGTAGAGATGGGCGAAAGAGGCGCAAAGAGCTACGACAGTCAAGGCAGTTTTTGATGCGCTGCACAAAATCTTGAGACTTTGAGAATGTCGGCTCTGCTGTACTTACAGGGTAAGTAGCTCTGGATGCTGGCATCAGCTTTTAAGGAAGGTAAACCGACAACTCCTAGGACGGCGTCGGATTCCCTCAACCTCCCCCATCACAAAGCCGGCACCCAGACTCCAATATCCTTCAGTGAAGGGCCTTTCTTCAAGTCTTCTCCTTGACCCGATTCCAGGTTTTCGAATCACGGTCCACTTCCGGAGACTGTGGTGGCCCCCATCATCAAGCAGGCGATGGTCATCAGCAGACCTGAACCCTAAGTGCCTTGAGACGCCGAGTATAGAAATACTTACTTTTAGACCCTGAGACTCCATGTATAGAACTGCCTACTTTGAGCCGCTTGCAATCTAATCTGAAAGGTGTTCCAGATTTGATCTCGTTCGCCAGGGGTCAATGAGGCTGAAAACCTTGATTCCTAAATCCGTGGTGAATGACCCGGCATAGACCATCGAAATCCGTAGCTGTGAAGCCCACACCCCAATACCCTCCCCTCCGACACAACTGCTTCGTAAATGTTGTATTCGACCTTTCCTTTCCGTGGGGATGAGTAGAACAGAACCTATGAGAACTTGCCAGTAGCTGTAGCTCCCCTCCCCACAAAGGCCATGGTTTTATTCTTGCTGAGTCCTATGTGAGCCCTAAGCCTTATAAACCTTAAACCCTAAAGCGGGTACCCACGTTAACTGAGCGGATGGCAAAGGTGCATAATAAGAGAAAAAACCCTACAACCAAGGCGCTTATCGCACCTACACCCTATAATTGCCCTAAAACACAATCTACATCCCAAGTGCTAACCTAAACCCGAAACCCCAACCCTAAACTCTAAACCTCAAACCTCTCGTGTGACGATAGAGGTCTTGTCCATGTTGCTGGTTATGGCTTAAGTAGGGCTAGGATCCTCATGGACTGACCGATTTCGTCTAGTTCAGTCTTACACCGTTTGAGACGATTCATCCTCGCTAGTGGGCATAGTTCCTCAGCCATGCGAGAGGGAAAAAACCTCAAACCCTTGCAGGTCACCAGTGCGCTGAAGTACGCCCACTCCAAGGGCATCGCGCACCGCGCCGGCGCCTCACGGTGCTTCGGTTTAGGGTTTAGGGTTTAGGGTTTAGGTTCGTGTCTCACATGTTCTGAGCTGGGCAGGGGGAGCTCCCGGGTGAAGAGGCAAGCCCGTGGCAAAAAAGGGGGGTGAACAAAAACTATACACATATGTTACTGTTCCTAGGTTCAGGGCTCCAGAATTTATTTATGTACTTGTCATATTGGCATATTATGGCTCCTTGCTACAACAAAAAGGCGATTATATTCATATTCCTTGTTACCCCTCCCCTCCTTATTATGATTCAATATAACTTTAACAGGTTGCTTTTTGGTTAAGCAGCATTTCTCTTTGTAATTT